AAGAGGGGCTGGGTGGAAGATTTCCATGACAGAAGCTTGAGGGTTATTTGCTTTCTTATTTATTTTGGGTTTGGAGCCATACCCACCAGTGCTGGGCGCTACTCTCAGGCTGGAGTAGTTGGAGTAGCTGGAGTAGCTCCCCAGGGTGCTGGAGCCTGGTCTGTTGAAGGAAACCTGCGGTTTCAGGCCTTAAGGGATGGGGACGGAGAAGGGAGAGAGGAGTAGCTCATGGGCGGCGTTGTGTTTTATGTTGTTTTAGGTCATACTCTGCAGGCTTACCTCTGGCTCAACACTCAGTCCTATACTAATCCTCCAGCTGCCAGCTGCACCTCCACCCCCGACCCCCAATCTTTAAAAACAAATCATTTTGATCTGGGGCCACATACAGCTTGCTTGGCCAGGAGGGAGGGGCAGTGGTTACTCTTGGCAAGACTGGTTACTGGTGGGCGGTGGGTATATTTCTCCGGTGCACGGTTACTGGTGCTGGAAACTTAACTGGGCCTCCAATTTATCCATGGGTAAGGGAGGCTGCCCTTTGAGCACAGTACAACTGCAGGAAATCTCCGACTTTATTTTCCAGAACGAGTTATTTTGTACTCTCTAGAGTGTATCACCTCCTGTTCCCGGGTAACTTACTGTCTCCAAGAAGGTAGGGGTTTAGGCCTAAGCGATGCTACAGCAGGTAGTTTTTGCCTTGCATATGGCAGGTCTGGGTTCAATCTCCAGAATCCCATATGGTCCCCTGAGCACGGCCAGCAGTAATTCTTGAGTGCAGAGCCAGGAGTAACCCCTGAGCATCGCCAGTGTGACCCAAAACGGAGCGTGTGAGTGGGGGGGAAGAAAGACAGGGATTTAATTTTTAATTTCATTTTGTTTTTTATTGAATGGCAGTTACACAATTACAAAGTTGTCCATGATATTGGGTTTCAGTTTTATGTTCCAACACCTGTTCCTTCACCAGTGTACATTTCCCACAACCAATGTCCCCAGTTTCTCTCCTGCCCCTGCCCATGGCAGGCACTTTTCTTCTCTCTCTCTCTCTCTCTCTCTCTCTCTCTCTCTCTCTCTCTCTCTCTTCTCTCTCTCTCTCTCTCCCCGCCCCCCTTTTGGGCATTATGGTTTGCAATACAGATACCAAAAGGTTATAAGGTATATCCCTTTACCTACTTTCAACACTCAGTTCCTCTCCAAAGTGATCATTTCTAGCTATTATTGTTATACTGGTCCCTTCTCAATCAAAGACATAGGTTTTAAACAAGCTAATTAGGGAGATAAAAGAGATAGCACAGTGGGCAAGGCATTGGCCTTGCACACACTGACCAGGGTTCAATCCCTAGCACCGCATATGGTCCCCTGAGCACTTCCAAAAATGATCCCTGAATACAGAGTAAGGAGTAAGCCCTGAGCAGCGGGTGTGACCCCAAACCATCATGTAACAACAATACTAAAGCTTACGAGGTTTGGAATGATAGTATAGAGGGTAGGCGGTGCTTGCCTTGAACCCAGCCGACTTGGGTTCAATCCCCAGCACCCGTCTATGGTCTCCCAAGACTGGGCGGAAAGGATCTCTTGAACACAGTCCTTAGTGTCCCCCCCTGAATAAAATAAAAGGGCTAATGAACTCCAAGTATCTAGAAAGCATCTATGGCAGGTGCTCAATAAACATGCTAAGTGCATGAAAGAGCACTTTGGTAAAAAAGAGAGCAAAACTAGAGCCGAGTCCACCATACGGCTTCTGCCGCCGTCACGGCGCTTATATTCCAATTTTGAGTTGGAGCCGGGGGCTCTCCGCTTACTCCCCCCAAATGTGGGCGAGGAGCCCAGACCTCGCGGCGGGGGGAAAAAAGAGCAAAGGGGGGAAATATTCATTTGATAATCAAGGTCTGCGCGGCGGCGTTTCTTTTCTATTCCGTTCCGAGCCGTGATTGAATCTCCACCGAGTCATCCAACCACTCGTGTGCGTTTCGCCTCCGCGGCCGAGACGCGCCACTGGCCGGCGATTCGCGCGTGGCTGCAGCGTCTCCGCGGAGCGTGGCGGGCGCGGTCCCCCGTGGGGCCTCCCCGGGTGGGGACGTCGCAGGCCGACCCGCAGCTCCTCCGTCCGTCGGCGGGCTCGGGCGACAAGGCGGACAGCGCCGGGTGGGATCCGGGAGCGGAGAGTCCCGGGCGTGGGACGCGGACGCGCGCGAGCCCCACGCGGGCGCACCCGGTCCCGAGCTCCCCCGGGCTTTCGGCGCGGGGCCCGGGGAGGGGCCGGACGGGGTGCGCGTGCGCGGAGCGGGCTGGGGGCGGGGCCGCGCGGACCACGTGGCCCCGGCGGCCCCGCCCCGCGGCGGCCCCGCCCCTTTCCCGGCGGGACGCTCGGAGCCGCCCCGGAGTGCGCAGGGCGGCCGGGGTGAGTGTCCGCGGGGGGCGCGCGTCGCGCTGACCGGGGCGGGCCGGCTGGGGGGGGCGGGCGCGGGCCGGCCCCGCGCGTCGTGGGGGCTGCGGGGACAAGATGGCGGCGGGGTACGCCCTTTCGCCCCCCCCGGCCCCTCACCTGGGCGTGAAGATCGGAGCTGGGGGAGGGGAGGCGCGGCCGCCCGCTGGGCTGGGGGCTGCCCGTAGGGGACCCCTGGAGCGGGTCGTGCGGGCTTGGGCCTGTCCCGGGCTCAGCCGGGGGTGGGTGGGGCGCGGTGGCACCCTGCGCGCCCCGCCGCTGGAGGGCTGGCGGGCCGGGGGGCGGCCTTTGCTGCACGTGTCCAGGCTCCTGGAATGTCCAGTCTGCAAAGGGCTTTCGGAAGAGCCTCGGCCGCCGCCGCCCTCTTTTGACAGGTGCTGGCCACCGTCGTGTCTCCGTCCAGCAGGGCTAACCCCGCGTGCCCTGCGCGGCCATCAGGTGTTGGGGGACCCCTGGGAACCCCGGGGGAACGGGCGCTCCGGCTGAGCAGCGTGCAGGGTGGAGGCTGGGCAGCAGTGGAGTGGACTCCAGGTTTGGCCGCTTGCCGGGAGGCCCGGCACCAGCCTCCGCCACCCATTCATTCGCGCCTTTCGGCCTCCTGGGAGGGAAAGAGAGCAGAAAGAAGACCGGCCCTGTCCACTCTGCTGTTGTCGGGGGCTCCGACCTCCTGGAGCCCCGTCCAGTCCCCAGTGGACCAGTGGACAGGTCCCTCATACTGTGTGTGCCTTGTCACTTTCCGTTCAGTAGGTGCCATCCTGCCAGATAGTGATTCCTCCCTCTTACTGTGACTGAGGACCTTACTGACTTCACCAACCTGAAGTTGCTTCCTCTGCCCCAACTTGAGTCCAGGGGAGAAGGATGGAGTTGGCCTTATGGCCGCGTTAGGAACTGGGAATGTGAGGTGCAGAGAAGGGTTCCTTTGGGATCCTGATCGCCCGTCTTTGAGTGGTTGGTCCAGAGTCGAGCTTTCACGCTGACCACACCCTGACCCAAGTTCATGCTGGTGCTCTCGGCCTGGTGTTTTTTTTGTTCCTGGGAACTGTGACTTAGCCTCTCAGTGTGTAGGGTGTAGAACTGTGTTCCATCCAGCTGATCTGAATAATACCCACTAAGGAAGTTGCTATTTTCTGTTTCGTTTTGCTTTGGGGTCACACCTGGTGGTGCTCAGGGCTTACTCCTGGGCTTGGAGGAACCACATGCAGTGAGGGGCGTCAAAGCCTGCCTGCCTCCACTGTTTGAGGCGAGTGCTGGAATAGTTACCTGCTGGAAGAGTTCTGGAGTTGCAGTTTTTGCAGGAGGGTCCGTTCACACGAACTGGACAGTTGTCTCTGCGGGAGGAGGTGTGATCAGACTGCTTGGAGGGCTCTCCCAGCTCTGCGTGTCCTTTCAGAGATTGCTTCATTTTGCTAAGCCTGTATTTCTTTGACCACACCGTAGAAGTGGGGGGTGGCCAGAGAGAAAGAGAGAGAGCACAGCAGTTGTGGAACTTGCTTTCCTGTGTGGCCGACCCCGCTAGATTCCTGGCACCACATACGGTCCCCTGAGCACAACCAGGAGTGACCCTTGAGCACCACTGGGTGTGACCCTCCAAAACCAAAACAACAGGAAAAAAAGAGGTCCTTCCCTTCTCATAAATGTCCATCCAAGTGTCTGTGGGTGTGGAGCTAAAGCATTTAGCACTGCTCCTGTCCTTTAATACGCTTTCAATAAATGTTGAGTTTCTTTCGTTTGTTTGTTCTGGGGCCACACCCAGTGGTGCTCGGGTCTATTCCAGTTCCTCAGCTCAACGATCACTCTTGGCTGGGCTTGAGGGAACCATATGGGGTGCCAGGAATCAATCCCAGTCTGTGGCGGGCAAAGCAAGTGCCCTACCCACTCTTTGTCCCCTTTCCCCTCGTGCCCCCCTCCCCCACTTTTATTTTTGTTGCGCTGTTTTTATTCTCTGTAAGTCATTCAACCTGGTGTATTATGAATGGTAACATGATCAGTGTTATTATACCAATGCATTTACGAATAACTTTGGGGACCAGGGCCCAATGATAGAGTACTTAAAAAAAAAAGTCCTGTTTAGTTTTCATCCCTTCCTCTTGCTTCACTTTCCTTCATCGTTGTTGATGTGATGACTGAGGGGTGTGCGCATGCCTGGCTGTGGCACTCACAGATGATTCCTTGTATCCTGCTAATGTCCCGTTGTGGGTTGCTGAGATGCTCACTGAGGGTTGTGCTCCATGCCTCGCAGTGTTTTCCCCTAAGCTTCCCGGGTTCACACGCTTTCATCGAGGCCTGTGGATTGTGGCTGCAGTACTCACCGCAGTGTCCGCACACATGCTTTCTAGTGCTGGCTTTTCCTGGCTGTGCTGCGGCTTGTTTATTGGTTGTGCTCACCTGAACTCATGCCCCACTGTGGAGCCAACACAGGCCTGGGTGCTGTGTGGCTGGGAATACCAATGGCAGACTGCTTGCTGCATGTGAGGCACCAGACATTTGAACTTGTCACCACATGCTCAAAAGGCAGTCACGGCAGTATCCCACAGGTCCTAACAGACACAGTTATTTATTTCTTAATATGGAATGCTTTACGATTTTGCCTGTCACTGTTTCAGGGGCCGTGTTAATTTTCTCTGTGTCGTTCCAGCTTTCGAGTATATGTGCTGCTGAAGTGAGCATTGGATATGGTACTTTAAATATTAAATGTTAAGGTTTAAAGCCTAGTGTTTAGGGGGCTGGAGAGATAGTACAGCGGGGAAGGCACTTGCCTTGCTCCCAGCTGACCCCGGTTTTATCCCCACCATCATAGATGGTTCTCAGAGCATCGCCAGGAGTGATCCATGAACACCTCTGGGTATGATTAAAAAACTAATAATAATGTCTGTCCATAGACTTCTTCCTGGGTATCTAAGCATCACTGAAGGATTGATTTCATAAATACTTCTATTTATACCCTTTACAGGAATATTTTATTTTGTTATTTTTTTTGGGGGGGGGGCGTGTCAGCTGTGCTTCAGGCAAGCTGCTCTGCTTTCTCTCTGGACCCTACAGGAATGTTTTAAAGATAAATAAGATGAAGGGACTTGAGGCCTTGTTTCACCTTTATACATCACCTAACCTACTTTTAAAGAAGCAAAAAATTCTTCACCAGGGAGTCATGTGAACATTCAGTAGGCTTGATGTCTATGTTTTGTAGAAGATCAAACATTTCTTGCTAGTGGTGCAATTTGATATACATTGTGAAATTGGAATTTCTAAAATTGTAGAAATGCAAACTATAAATGGTACGCATAATAAATTCAGATGTCATTAGTAAATATCTAGGTGTTCGACTGGGATAGCAAGATTTTCACAAGATTTTCAAATAGTCTGTCTTTAGTGGTAGGTTTTAGAGAATGCAAACTGAAAAGGTCCATAGTTCATTGGTAAAACTTCACAGTTATTAGAAGGAAATGATACATTTTCTTTGTGACATGAAACACTGAAGAGCTCATGAAATCTTGCTAATGTAATGCTACTTTTTTGGGATATCTCCCTAGCAGCAGTCAGATCTGGGGGCCCTTATTGCTGCTCAGGACTGCACCCAGTGTTGTTTTGGGGATCATGGGGTACTGGAGATTGAACTTGAAGCCTCAAATGTGAAAGGGACGCACTTCAGTTCTTTGAACTTTCTCCTTGGTCGTAATTACTACTTTTTAATATGTGTTTTTTGGTTTTGTTTTGGCATTGTTTTTAAGTATGTGGGGGCTTGTTCAAGTGGTAGGACGTTTGCCATGTGCGCAGCCAGCCTGGTCGAGCCAGGTTCGATTCCTCTGCCTCTCTCAGAGAGCCCGGCAAGCTAACGAGAGTATCTTGCCCGCATGGCAGAGCCTGGCAAGCTACCCGTGATGTATGCAATATGCCAGGCATAGTAACAACAAGTCTCAAAATGGAGATGTTGCTGGACCCGCTCGAGCAAATCGATGAACAATGGGAAGGTAGTGGGGCTTGTTCCTGGCTCTGCACTCGGGGATCACTCCTAGCAGTGCTTGGACTATATATGATGCTGGGGATTGAACTGTGATGATTCACATGCAAGGCTTAACACTCCGTGCTATCTCTCTGACCTGGCAATAAATTTTTATAATAATAAGCTTATCATGTGTGGTTTTTGAAAAATAGAAGTTAAAACATATTGCAGTGTCTTAGTTGATTTCAGGAGTTCCCTCTGCATGGGCAATCCTGGAGGAAGCCTGCGCCTCATGGGGGGAAAATCTCAAACATCATGTTTCATTTGGAGAGATTTTAATTCCATGTTAGACCTCTTCAAATTGGAGGTATTTGAAGAGTGAGGCAGTTCTGGTATCTTCAGAGTCATGCCAGGTTCGTGGGAGAAAATAAATGCCTCCTGGTTGACGTATTTGTGGCAGTGGTGAGGAGAACGATTGGAATTGGAATCTCTCTCTCTCAGGGGTGGGAGGTCCGTCCATTGGTGCTCAGGGCTTACTCTTATTTCTGCACTGAGCGGATCACTCCTGATGGGCTCAGGGGACTATATGGATGCTGGGGATCAAATCCGGGTCTCGGTCATCTGTGTGCAAGGGAAGTGTCCTCAGAATGATTGGAATTGAAAACCTCATCAAACAATTTGGAGTTGTAGTATCAGTATTGCCCTTCAAGATAGTTATTCTACCCTATTCTGCAGTTTTTCATTGAGCAAAAACTATGGCAGGTCACGGGTAGTGTTTGATTGCGTAAAGAATAGCTCTGTCAGGTTCCAGACTCAGAATGCCAAACAGGTTCTTTTCAGTTTCAGAGAAGACAGACAGACAGATGATAGGTTCTGTGAACACTGGAGAGTAACTGTGACCACGGGCCTCCTCTGTCCTACTTGCAAACGAACACTTCCTAGATGACCTGCCCATGTGTTTTAGGGAAACGCTGCCGGCAGGGTTCTCCCAATTCGGGGCCTGCTGTGCTGTCTGTGCTTCAGAACCTGATTGTCCACACACAGTAAAGGAGGCAGACACTTGAGGCAGACCTCTAGGACACGGGCATGTGCTGCACGGATGTAAGACCACAGGGTAAGGCATACATGGAGCCAGAGTGTTAGTACAGTGGGGAGGGCATTTGCCTTCCACGTGGCCAACTTGGGTTCGATCCCCAGCATCCCATATGGTCTCCTGAGCACCACCAGAATAGAGCCCTTCATACAGATTAGGTCCAGATTAAATCCCGAGCATTGCAGGGTGTGGCCAAAACCACACAGCAAAAAAAATGAGCTCCACTCAGTTTATTACAGCAGTTTGTTGAGCTTATTCCCTGACCTAGTCAGTCTTAGAGTTTCTTTGTTTTTAATTGTCTGGCTTTGGCTTCTTTATTTTTTCATTTTGTTTTTGGGCGGTTAAGAACAGAATGATAGTCTTGCCCCTTGTTGAGGACAGAGTTGCAGACTGCAAGTTAAAGCCTTTTGTGATTTGGCAGGGAACCCCAAATCCTTTCAGCTTTATCAATAAGTATATGCTTTTGGTAGGCCAGGGAACAATATGACATCCTGAAGGAACCAGCAGCTTTTCTTTTTTCAAATCACATTTTATTAAAAACACCGTGATTTTCAAAGTTGTTCATTGTACAGTTGTTTCAAGCATTTAGTTTTCAGTACCACCAGTGTGACCTTCCTTCCATCAATATCCCCAGTTTTCCTCCTAGTCCCAAACTGCCTCCTTAGGCACATAACAAGCTTACTTTATATTACTTATTCCAATAAGACTTTAAGAAATGGCAAATAGAACCCAAAAGGAGAGAGAGAACAAGGGGGAATGCCCTGCCACAGAGGAAGGGTGGGATGGGGGAGGGAGATGGGGGGTGGGAGGGATACTGGGATCAGTGGTGGTGGAGAATGGGCACTGGTGGAGGGATGGGGACTCGATCATTGTATAACTGAAACCCAAGCACCAAAATTTGTAAATCTACAACTGTACCTCATGGTGTTTCACTAATAAAAATCTAAATTAAAAAAAAAGATAAAGGTAAAAGAAATGGCAAATAGAATGATCAGAAAATAAATCAATAAGTAATTTGTGATTACTATATGACTGACCTATGTAAATAAGAAAATTAAAGTCACTTAGATAATTTTAATAATATAAAATGCATATTCTTATTTACTATATACATTTTCAACTCTGGAATCTAATGTATATTACATTAAATTTTGCTATGGTAATGATCATGTCTTACCTATCATTATTAAAGCTTTTAGAACAATTCTGTGTTAATATATTTTGGAGTTTACGTGGAATAGGTAAGGCCTACATATATAAATTTTTCCATAAACACTGTGGCTTGCAAAGTTGTTCATGATCATTTGTCACCAGCATTCGACATTCCAGCACCAATGCCACCACCATTACACCTTTCCTCCACCCTTGTCTCTAATTTCTTTCAACCACCTCATAAGCTAGCCCCCATAGCAGTCCTCAATAATTTATTTTATATTGATTGTTATCAATAATTTGCTCAAATAATCAAAAAATTGTTTCCTTGGAAGAAAATTAGTGTAAGTTGTTATATCTCACCTTCCAGACAGTGAGTCCTTATAGAAGAGATTACTAAGAAATTGTTACAGGTAAACTTTTTGTATTTGTGTTCTGTTAGTTGAGATTCGGTTACTTTCTGTGTTACATCCCATCCAATCTAGTGTGCTACTACTATTTTATCAGTGCTATAGAGTTCATGGCCATGCATCCAGAAAGTCCAGAATTTTTAACAGGGTAGTACAGCTGGAGTAAAATTTTTAGCTAGGTGGCAGCTTTGGGGTGTGGTGTGTGTGTGTGTGTGTGTGTGTGTCTGCTGGCTTCAAGAAGTGGGAGGTGGGGACAGGGAGCCCATTCAGACTCAGCAAAAGCCGCATACCTGAATTTTTCAGCAAATTAATTTCTGGGTGAGGCTGGTCCCGAGGCAGTGGAGTCCAGTGGTGGTGGTGGCGGGGCAGTGGGCATGATGGCAATTTTGGAATATGGAAGTAGGTTGCTGCTGGGGCTCTGTTTGGGCGGATCACCAGCAACTTCTCAAATATTCTTTCCTGAGCTTGATGTGCCAGTGAAATGAAGAAGTGCTGTTTGGAGAATGATTCCAGGGTTTGCTGACTGTGGATAATGCATCCTCTTTTGTTAGCCATCCTGATCTCAATATCAAAGTGGTGTCTTTTTCCAGATCCCACTTTCGTTCGTTTTTGGGCATCACTATTTTGATGCAACCCATTGGTTGGCATCGTAGTCAGCTACTATCAGAGCTTTTAAAAATTTTATCAAGAGCCCAGCAGTTTTTTTAAATCCAAGAGTTCTTGAAACCTTTTAAAGCTTCCTCTCTGATAATGACCTTTGCCATATTGTTGCTTCAACCGACGATGCCACTGAAACTCAGGTGTGCTTTAAGTGGACGGTGCATAACCATGCCTGCCCAGAATCTTCCTTGGGCTTTGTGATGACATCAAGGAGTATGTGAGCATCACCTAAGAAAAAAAATCTAGAGGTTCTTTACTGTCTGCAAAGGGTTTGCTGTGGACGAGGAGATTGTAAGCATCAACAGGAGAGGGCTTGAGACGGCAAACGCTGAGATCCTAGGGTGTGGATGTGGATGCTGTGGAAAAGCTCCTTGATGGGTGGTTGTTGCTGGAGCACCGGAACACCATAGACAAA